TGTACGGCAGTGAAGCATCTGTGCTGAACACTGATATCATGCTGTCGATGATGATGATGATCCAGCTTAGCACGATTGTGATGTTTACCGTGAGGTTCGTTCACGCTTGTCTTTAATTAGATGGATTCATCCTCGAGTAGTTTGAGCTACCCTATGAGATTCTGGTCTAGTTGGGAAGCCACCTCAATATTAGAACCGGACCCGCTTACACTTTTAGATTCCTCCATAACTGCATCGAGATAGGAAGCAAATCAGTCGCCTGATGTGGGACGTTCTGGGACGGTCAACGCTGTCATGCTATCTACGTCTATTCCGCGTTTTCCGGGGCTACTTTCTCTACAAGGAATACCTTGCAGAACAAACTCCGTTGAGTTGGCCACCGCCTGTCGGACATCATGAACGTATCTAGTTTGTTCTCTGCAATGGCGGTCCTCTCTTTATTGTGCACTATTCGCTTCTACAGGCTGCGGCAAGCCGTGCCATCATACATATCTATACAATAAGACTGTACGGAATCGATTGTTGTTTTTCCATACCCAATCCTGGTTTTCACTAACAACGCGGTGGGGAAGCACTATGGAGTTCTTCTCATTAGCATCTAACGCTGGATCTGTGTACCCTTCTCCTGCGCTTCACTGGTAGTCGCAGTGACCAAGTGATTTGGTGTACATTTTATCGTCGTCATCATCATCATCAATCAACCATCTAGTTAGACATTTGATTTTATGGGTGTCTGTGGCAACCCACCGATGGTCTTTCTCCATTGTTTATAGTGTGAGGAGATTTGGGATTCTTTGTGAAGATTTCGTCCTGTAAGTGAAGCCAATCTATGCTGAAAAGCCGAGAAGCACTGTACCACTGTCTCATCCTTATTGGGAATCATCAGTAGTGCGCATCTCCGAAGAGTCTCGAACCCGCAACCTCCTGGCAAGTAGTTTGAACACTTAACCGTTCGGCCACGAGTGGCTGATCAGCAGTGTGATTAACTTGCAATTAGTCAGGATATAGCACCGCTCATCCTTCAATCACGGGATCCACATCACGCGGCCACACGTGTTGACTGCTTCACTTGCGGGATGAAACCTCGACAAAAGTCTTTATCCCTCTTCTTTTGGTTGGCTTACGACATGGTTGTTTTCTCACCTTATTGTTTTTCTTCCCGAGTCGGTGCTCGGCTATACAACTCCTCTCTATTTGCTCTGTTTTTCGCTCCAGATGCTCATCGATATTCTCATCTACTTATTGTCCAGTGTCGGTAGACGCTTTGTGATGGCCGAGGATCTTACTCCACACTCTGGGTCCTTTGTTCCCTATTCCGTTCGGCTGGCTGTGGAACTGCGGCATTTACATCAACGAATTTTGCTAGCATTGTCAAACGAGACGCGACTCGGATTGCAGGTTATTTGAATTTCTGCATTGTCTACTCTCATCGGTGTCCATCCTGTTGCACTTAACGAGTTGGGCTAGGGAGTTTCTCGTTTTCTTGGTCCTTATCCGAACGAAATGTACTGATCTAATAATGAAATCGTTCAGCTGTAACGTTCAGCTGCCCTTTCGGTGCCTGGCTGCCATGCCACCCGAAGGAAGCACGATGTCTGGGATACTGCCAGGTCGCCCAAGCCTAGTCAGGTCAGGTCGAGAGGCAGAAGTCGTGTTCGAACCAAGGACCTTGAGGTTAGTAAATTCACTCTCTAATCAACTGAGCCATGTCGCCCCACTGATCGGTATGAGACGACTCATTGTGTTCGTGTGCGAGTCTCTGGTTGCAGGCAACCCGGTGTATTACAACAGCCATGGCTTCATGGATGGCCATGAGTTGAATGCAAAGCCCGGGGGCGAGATGGCTCAGTGGTTAGAGAGCTAATTTACTGGCTGGAAGCTCCGTGGTTCTTTTTCGCTTGTCTGTGTTTTTCTTGAACTAGGTAAAGTCATCTGTATTTACTCAGCTTGTCTGTTATCCGCCTTCGCAACCAGTAGTTATCTGCATTCCGAAACACCCATTTCTGTGCCCGAAAGTCAAATTTTGCTTTTGATATAGCTTTTGCTGGATACCCTAGTTCACGGGTGCATTGTTCAGCACAGTTAGTGTTCTTTTTGTTAGTGGGTTTGGCGGGATTGCTCGAGTGGTCAGAGCTCGAATTTACTGACCGCAGGGTCCGTAGTTCGAACCCGACCTCTGCCTCTCAACTTCCCCTGTCTAGGCTTGGGCAACCTGGCAGTATCCCAGCCCTCGTG